ATGACATCAATATGAAATAGCTTTGGTCTTTGGAATGATCTTTTGTGCATTCTGCACTGATTTATCTTCATCCTGTTGGCCATTGGACTCATTGCACTGGCTAAGGTTTATTGAATTACTGCAAAAATAAGAAGGTCCCCATTCAGCTAGGGACTGCCCATCTTTATAGAGATGCACAAGGAAGGAGGAGTTCTGTCTGTGTCCTTTTCACTTACAGATGACGTTCAGGAAATGACTGAAATTGTCTGTTCTGTAGAGAGGGAACAAATACATTCTACACTGGCAAGTTTTGCAAGAAGGACATGTGTTACATGTGAGTTTGCACCCAATTTGATGCAACAGGAAAGGAGGGGAATTCAGCAACACTTGGCTGCTGCTCCCGCTGCTACCATTAGCCTTAGCATTGTTCACACATCTCGCAGCTTAGGCTGCCTCGAAACCCTCAACCCCCCCTTTCTCTGTCCCCACCTTCCCACCCCAACCTCCACCACGTCTCCATCCTCCCCCTCCTCCTTGCCTTGCTGCGTCCTCTCTTTCCTGTTCTTGCTGCAGTGTTGCTATAGCAGCGGAGAAATGTGGGAATACCTCTGTCCTTCAGAGCCCTGGAGAGAGGGAGATAGCAGCAGTGAGGAAGAATGGTAGACAAACAGAGGTGAAGGTGGATAGATGGAGAAAGAGAAAAAATGAAGGGAGGAAAGACGGATAATAACCGTTTGAATGAGTGCCATTTCTTCTTGTTGTCTTCTTGCTCTGCCCCCACATAAAGAGCGCCCTCGCATTGATATTCTGTCCCTGTTATGAAGAAGATGCCACAGTTGTCATGCTTTGAGAGCCATTCATATGTTTGTGTGTGTGGGTGTGTGTGTGTGTGTATGAAGGGGGTTCGACTGATTGCACATTGTCGCATGGCCATGGTGTAGCTCCACGGCAAGCCTTACGCACATTATTTGTTCTGCGATCCACGCGTTTCTGGATGTCTCCATTTGTAGTGAGGCTGCAGTTTCCATGACAACACCCAGACTAAAATAGCCCCCCCCTCCCAGCTCCAACCTCCTCTGCGCTCATAAATGTTCATGTCTGATCCTGGGCTGCATTCTTTTTGGCCCGTTACCAATTGTTTTTCATTCATCACATGTGGACAGAGGCACAAGTTTTTGCCCTGACCGTCATACATAAGCACACAGACACAAACTTATCACATCTCTGCCCACGTCTTATCCCCTGCTTTCAGTCTCTCCGTCAGCATGCATCAACCTCTGAGTCTCCATGACAACTGTCCTGAAGTGACTACAATTATTTTATCCTTGATCAAAAAACAAACATAAATACAACAGCCACTTGAGGGACTGAAAGGAAAATGAAAGATGGGATTTTTTGGTTGTTTTAGTGTCAACTGTGAACTCCAAATAATGAAAAAGAGTATAAGATGCATGCACCCATATCTTATGCATTTTTATTAGGAAAAGGTTATGTTTCTTTAAGTAACACAGGAGGAAACCCAGTCCGGGCTACATGGCTGTGTGTAAATGCATATGTTGCCTCGCAGATGAGTACAGGTGGGCTCACTGACCCAGTGACACCTGTGTATGGCTTTGCAAGGCTAACCAGTGTCACCTTCTACGTTTTGTATGTGTACTTGCCAGCAAGGGGATTACTATGCACTGCTGTGAAAGAGAGAAAAATAGTCAAACAGATGGACATAGGGAGATCTCGACAGTAGTGGGAAGCACATTTTCAGGTTAAAAGGAACGCCTTGGCTATGTCCTGTTTGGACCAACTTTTTTCAGATCTGCCTGAATTCATTGTGACAAAGACTTACAGTAAACTAAGTGTCAGGTTTCCTATGAAATTTATGTCTATAACAAAATCATAGCCTCACAGACATCACAGACGATGCAAATCCCTTGCTCCAACTGTCCCCAAGGTGTTTTGCTGAATTTGGCCACTGAATTAACATGAGCTAATTTTCCAAGAAACCGTTAGAGGCTACTGAAACTGTTTTTGTGCATTTTCTTTTACCGTAAGTACTTATCAAAAGACAAACAGTACTTGGGGTGGGGTCCTGTGTATGCTTTTATGATGACTTGCACAGAGGAGCCATCACAATGGGCGTGAAGATCTGGTTTAAAGAGACACTGCTAAGAGATTGATACAACAAAATGTAGCAGTTCAGGAGTAAAAAGGATGAGTGGTGCTATGCCACTTCTTCAAATCTAAGCTCGCATTCTGTGTCCTAAACTTTCCTCTAGAGTCAGCCTGAATATTAGGTAGAAAAGGTGCCTGGAGTTTATGAGAGCTTCTAATTTTGGTGCAGAACGATAATAGGTCTGCATTTTCACTCATATCACCCAATTGAACACAAACCTTCTGTTATCAAAACTCTGAGTTACCGGGCTGACATTATTCTCTCAGTTGCAGAGGGAAAATGAATAAAACAAAAACATGTCAGGAGACCACTTGAAACATGTGATTATCCAAACAAGAAATTTTTTTAGTCGACCAAAGAAACTAGCAGGAATGATAACACTGCATATAACACAGAGGAGAAATTGCAGAGATGCAAAAACATTATAATTCAAAATGTCCCCGTGTTTGAAAGATGTTTTTTTCTGTATCTAACAGATCAGTAGCTACATTTACATGCACCAAATTTCCCCAGGCTGATCTAAACCTTGGTTGATTAAAAATTCAACATCTCTGTTTACATGGACATTAAATATAATTCTCTGACCTTGAAATGTCTATACATGTACCAAGTGCTCGATCAGATTAAATCCTTTAAGCATGCACAGAAATGTCTGATTTCCAGAAACGCTTTAGTAGTAGAAGATGAAACTACCTGTTTTGTGAAAAACCTGTACACGTCCGCCCATCCTTAACTTTAGCTACCTGACCCTCAAAGAGCAAAAAATACATCATGGCTTTGAATTTGACTTGAACCATCTTTATGTCCAGAATTATGTGGACTGGAAAGAATTGAACTGTTAAAGTGACAATCCTGTTGCTTTTGCTCTTTTGCTTTAAACCAACACAGTATTTTAGAAAACAAAACATTGGCAGTCAAAGATGGAGCTGGTAGCATGGTTGAAATCTGACCGAGATGCTGTGGCATTACCTTAATCATTTGTTCATACCAAAGTTTGTTGGCTGTGCAACAACAATTCTGCAAGAAAAGTTGGCCAAATTTCCTCACAAAGGATATTTAAAACTGTCAGCTTTCACAAATGCTTAATGGTAGTTGCTTCTATCAATACAGAAATGGCCAGTAATTTGATTTAGGAAACAAATTATCTCTCCAATGCATACATGTAGCCATGGGCTCAGTTTTACTCTAACTAAATGTGTGAGCTCTTTTCCTGCTTTTTGACATGAAAACTGGCCCAGAGTCCATCTGCTTAACTTTATTTCCTAGATAGTTTCACCTATTAAGATAGTTTACCATTACATTTTCTAACATACATTTTTTTTTATGGATCAGTGCTTCTACATTTTCTTTTGTGTGTCTGCTTTTGTCTTCTTGAACCCCCAGTTGGCCTTGTCAGAAGGCTGCTCAAACTGAGCCTGGTTCTGCTGGAGGTTTCTACTGTTAAAAGGGAGATTTTTTTTTCCTCTGTTGCTGCATGCAATGCTCAGTGTGAGGAATTGCTGCAGAGTTCTCCGGGAGGAGCGAATTCCTTCAAATCAATGACTCGATGCAGTCAGCTGGGTTTCTTGAGATACAAAACTTCTAACCAATCTGTTTGTATGATTTGATTAAACTGTCTCTTTAAAGCACATTGAGATGATAACATAATGTGAATTGGTACTATATAAATAAACTGAATTGAACTGAACTGAAATACTTTTTCACTAAGGACAAATTTGGTTCCAAGGCTATTTTGTATCTTTTTTCTTAAAAAAAAATAATAAATATCATCCTTGATATCTTCCTTTTCTGTTTTCTCAAGTTTTCTTAATCAGATTTTGAAATCAGATTGATGATCTGAGTTATTTATCTGTGACTAAGATCTCTCAGGGGGAAATTACTTTTTTTCTAGCACTGAATGATCTGCTAAAAAAAGACCTAGAAAAATAATGTGTGGTATATTTAATCTTATTCTTTTACCTGAAGGAAAAATAAACTAGAATAAAAAAAATACTAATTTTAAACGTAAACTAGGATCTGTGACCTGCTGTCAAAACAGACATTAATAACAACAAGACAATTTAGCTCAAAACAGTCATGTTATATCCTAAGAGCCTTACAAAGTTATGACCTCATGTTTTCTTCTAGAACTCTGTTGGTCTAAATTTGCAGAAGTAATTTTTTTAACAAAGCTCTGAGTACAATCCTACTCTCTTTTGCTTGTGATAGATTTCAGAAGTTACTTCTTATTTATAAAATTTCCTATCCTTTTCAGGGGATTTTAAAGTAAAACCTTACTTGATTTTGCCTGTTTTACACATATAAAACATGACGTTGTTGCTGTTGGGTTTTAAACCTTCACACTCAGTAATCCCATTGTATATCTCAGAAAGCTTCTGAGATACCAACACATACTTAAACGTATGCTAAGTAAGGGAAAACACGCCAGGCCCTGTAATTTTGGGCAAACCCACAGCAGATGGCACAAAACATTTTAATGAGTGTTTGTGGCCAAGAGTACACATGCGTTCAAAGTCCACAGAACACAATTGGTGAAGTCAGGTGCAGACGTCAACATTTTCCTTGTTTCTTTGTCATTTTGGTAGGTTGCCATTAAGAACATGTGACTTTGCTTTTAGGGTGCAACCAGTTTTATCCTCTGGGGCAAAACTTGTTCCCGTAAAATCTAACTCTGATTAAATATGTTATTTATTTTACTTTTAGGACAATTACACAAAGGACACAACAGAAAACTGGAAGGCTCAGTGATCTAAACAAGATTTATATCATGCAGGAGAACAGATGCAGAAAGATCTGATGAAGGAGGGACAACAAGATGAGGTCAGGTGGGAGGACTATAAAAGCGCTGCTTAGCTTCAACTAAACAAGGCCTAAATTACTGTCTGTAGGCCTAATATAGACAATGAGGGATTCACAGCAACTGCTCCATGAGGTATCTGACTAAAAAGCCAGATTTGTACCTGGGAGTCATAAAGTATTTAGATTTATATTTTGATATATTTGTGTTTCTGGATTCTAAAGTCCTGTATAACTATAGCTTTTTCATAAAGGCATGTTTTTGCAGTTTTTGGTCAAGTACATAGAAGGACTTGGATTTTTTTCTTCCTTGATACCCTTATAATAGATATTTTTATATTACAAAAACTGTGGAATTTCTTAAAGGAAGCAGCTTTTCACAAGTCAACATGATGCTGAAGTTGCAGATCAGTTTGGCATGCTTATACCTGCTCTGCTGCCTCTGCTTGACTGAGTCCCGGCAGCTGAAGTTTGTTGTTGCTGTAAGTAAAACCCCTTTTCCTTGCATTTAAATCCACAGCCATCACATATGTTTCTGCTTTCCTTTTTTTTTCATTCTTGTGTAATACAACAAACATAAGATGTTTGCATGATGCTACTGATAGCATTTGTTTGTTGTATGCCACGAATTGAACATAATCTGACAGCCTGCTTTGATTTGCATTGTTGCTGATTACGCTGCCATTTTCTGCCCAGTGAGTATTATTTTATTTACACTTTTATCACAAAGGATTACTTTGAGCCTAGCCTCAGACAGCGGCGAGCATATCTCTCCCAGACACAGCAGCTTTGTTCATAAACCTCTTTATGTAACACTTCAGCACATAGTTGAATCACTTAAGGAGATACAACAAACAGAAACATACTTGTATCCTTTTTGAGCAGTAAAGATGGAAAAAAAAGGCAAAATATGCCTTAAATGTTCTTTTATAAATGATTTGTGAGCTTTAATATTCAGCCCACATGTTGCCCTTCTCAGTTTAAGAATCCCCAATTGAAAAAAAAAAAAACAAGAAAAAAGCTGTTATTACTCCATGTGAACTTGTAGGACGGACAATATGCACAATAACTGATTATAAAATAAAGGCTGTTTTACTTAAACATTTAAGTAGAGAGTTTAATTTTTGGGCATTTTATTCGTTCCATCTCAAATAAACATACCAACATAAATACATTGCCTGGAATAAATACAAAATAAAACCATATTAAAAATCTGTATTTTTAAAACAGGACCTCCCTTATAATCACATTTTAACTTGATGATTTTGGATCAAAATACAGGACAAAAATTATAGTGAGACTACCTTAATTAGTTTGTTTGTTTTCATCAAAACACCTGAGCTGCTTTGATGATCTCCAATAGCTCAGTGTGAAAAACAGCTGATCCCAATCTTTTCTCTACATCCACCCTGTTCCCTTGTATCATTTAGTTAAACTCAAACATATAAGAAAAACATACTTTTTAGTTGATAAAAGCTTTTTTAATTTTTCAATTGGGTCCTCAGAAAGCAAAACAGATCCCAGTCCTATTTTATTTTACTACCAAATAAATGAAATATTTTCCTGTACCCTTTGCAATGCATTTGAGGAAGGGCAACACTTTTCTTATATTATTTCTAAAACTTTCTACTACTAGTGCTTTCCTTTCAGTTGAAAGCTATGATCTAATTTTTGTTGGTCAGTTACTGTGTATAAAATCTAAATAAGATAAATCAAGTTATTCACCTAATATGACAATCATAGTTGAAGAGATTTCAACACATTCATAAGAAACTGTAAATGTGCTCTACACAAAAGCACTTGTTTACTCCTAAAAGTCCTTATTTACCACAATAAAAAAGTATAGAATATAATATACTTATAGAAAACATTAAGTAAGGTATTTTTCCAGGTAAAATGTCTTTGAAATTCTCTCACCTAAATGTCATAAAAAGAAAAAATAGATAATGTTCAAAATATGTTTTCTTGAGTGTTGAAATGCAAATCATGATGTATCAAAAATCACTTTATAGATATTTTAAAAATCTAATTTTCATCATCTAGAGAATAATATCAATTGTTATTTTGGTTTAATACTGAATATCTATATTAAAAAGTTTGGTCTTTCTTAGATCCTTACAAAAGCCATAAGGTGACGTCTAAACAGTCCAGAGTTCATTTCCTAAATTACAGACCAGCGTGTAGCTTTCACCTGTACTGATGAGATCTTTCTGAACATTTTAGCACAAAATATGAACCTTGAAACTGTTGGAATGTTGGTTGAATCATATTATCAAAAGATTTAAAATATGCTAATACTGGCCTCTGATTTAGACATTTAACCTCTTTCATTTAAGTTTTTGTAGGCCAACAAAATGCAGAATGTTTGCTAATTTTGGTCCCTTTATAGCAAAAAAGAAAAGAAAAACAACTGAGTTTTTTGTTTTCAACCACAAGTTAGAGTTGTCTAAAGAGCAAATATTTTTTAGATGGCTTTTTTTTTTTTTTTTCTATACGGCTGAATGTCTATTCATTTAATAGGTTCTAAAACTAATGGTAAAATGTTGAAGTAAAGTTCTGATTTGGGAATTTAAAAACAAACCTGCCATTCAAATATATAACAAATCTATTTATCAGACTATTGTGACATTTTTACTTTTTTGAAAATGAAAGAGTTTTCATAAATAAGTAAAGCAAAGTTAAAACGAAAAATATATCCTAAAACAAAATTATCAAAAAGCATTATTCAAGAGGCAGTCACTGCACAGAAATGTAATCTGAGGGATCAGTGTTGCTGACTCTAAGTGAGGTTGTGTTGTGTTGCGCTGCAAGACACCAACTGAGAAACAAGCACATAGATATGAAAAGCATGTCCAGTAAATAAAATACCTACATCCCACTTCGCCGGTAAAAGCAAAGTCATGTAGGACATCCTTGCAAGTACAAGAAGGTAAGCTGAGAGAAGCAAAAGGGCGGCAGGTGATAGCAGCCTGCAGAAATCCACTGTGAGAGATAGAGGACAATATGGAGGCAAAGCTTTAAATATTAATGAAAAGTTTCATATCAAATAATGCGTTAACTTATAGATTATACGCTTGTATCTTTGGGATTATGATATTGTCATTGCATATAATTACTGTCTTTAGTATGGAGTGTTGGATATTACTTGTTACATTCAGTCAGAAGGTTGAAAATACATTTTCTGCTCTTAAATGTGTGAATTTATGTTAATCCTGCAGGTGCGAATCAGTTACTTTCTTGTCAGTCTTTATAGTTGGGGTTTACTGTGAACAGTAGTGCATCAGATGTTTTCACAATCCACTAAAATGTAAGTGTGTGTGTCAAGTCCCTCCTCAGAAAGATGGGTCTAAAGGTTAATAACACTAATGGAGCAGCTCTTGATCATACATCATCAAAATTACTTATCTATGTGCACCTTAAATCGAGACTGATCTGTTTACAGTTACGAGTTTCTATTTATGACTCTTGTCTCAGGGAGAATTGCTCCCTAAGAAGAGGTCAAATTGAGCACAGGGGCAGCCTGTCTGAATTCATGCAATATAATCTGTTCTGACTTTTCAGGTGTTTCGACATGGCGATCGATCGCCTATTGAGTCATACCCCAGGGATCCACATGGGGAGGAAGTGTGGGCTCAGGGCTTTGGCCAGCTTACTGAGGTACATGCTGTTTCTTTGAGTCTCTGTGTCACTATTCTATCAAGCATTTTTCAAAGAAAAAGAAAGTTTTAAGAACATGAGGGATAGGAATGCTAACATGAAAAAGATAAACAAAAAAAGACCCACCACAACAAACTACAGAACAGGTGTGGCCCTGTAGGACATACTGACAGGATAATAACCTTAAGTAAGTTTAAATATTGTGGCGAAGATATTCTATTCTATTCTATTCTATTCTATTCTATTCTATTCTATTCTATTCTATTCTATTCTATTCTATTCCAGATCTCCTTAAGTAGAAAGGTTGCTCACTGTAGTTTTAAATAGTGTTGCGCCGATCCCCGATACCACTAGTTTGAAATAGAGGTGTGTGCATATATGAAGAACTACATGCTACTTGGTTGTAAAATAATTGCCATCATGGCTTTGTCAAGCTGCTGCCTACCTTTGTGAAGCAGCACCTTGCCTACCTGGAATGGGTGACAATAGTTAATTAAACTTTTGGCTCTCAAAATGGTATCAGTGCCCTATTTGTTGGTACTCACCCATACCGATACCAACATTTTGTTGCTGGATCGGGGCCCCGTCCGATACTGGTATCGGTATCAGTGCAACACTAGTTTTAAATACCACTACCTTGTTAATACTGTTTGGTACTCCTTTAATTTTTATTATTAACACTTTTTTTTAAAGGTTTTTCCTAACAGAAAATAATTACAAGCAGATAAATTTGTCTTTTTTTTTTTTTTTAACAGTGTCCTGTCTAACGATGTGGCAATAAGAATAATTGACTTGATGTCAAAAAGAGCCCAACAGATTTTACTTTCACAAGTGTAGCAGTACAGCTATTGCCATAGTGTTCTGCTTGTTTTATGCATATAAATTGCTTTATTATAATTATGCAGGGAGTTTTACAGATTATATGGACACTGCAATGTAGGTAGAACAGGAAAGGAAAAACAGAAAAAAAGGGAGAAAAGATGAAAGAAAGAGAAGATAAAAGGGAGATAATGATAAAACATTTTCAGTCTGCTTCATCACCTGCAAAGAGATGCAAAAAGAACAGCACAACTAATGGACATGGTAGGAGACATACAATAAAGTAACACTATCGCTGAAGTATAGGTAGTATTATTTAATCTGACAAGTATTTCTGACATGAATTTGTCTTTTTTGTGAGTGGAAAAAAAACCTGACATGGCAGTGTGCAGCAACAGCTATGGGAAGGTCGCAATTGCTGTACTTGATGATTCCTACAGTTGTAGAAAAACCAAATCACTCAGACAATTTCTCACGTTATATTACTGAAATGGCTTTTTGGTAGGCAAGGCAAGGAAAGTTTATTTGTAAAGCACAATTCAGTACAAGAACAATTCAAGGTGTTTATCATGAATTAAACGATAATATAGAAGAAAAATCAAAAGAGAATAAATGCAAATAAATATAAAAAGATGAGCACATAGTAAAATTTGTTAAACAATGGGACCACTATCTTAAACTAGCAATACCTCAGTCAACAGTTTAACTTCAACACTCAATGGCATAATGTGTGACAATGGGTCAGATTTTGTTTTACCACTTTTTCAAACTGTAAATTTTAAAACCATTTTAATTCAAGAATATGGCTCACACCTAAGGTTATGTAAATGCAATTCATTGGATAACTAGGATGGACTTTCCAACCAACAAGAGGAGGCAACTTCAAAATAATCAAATACAAATCTATTTTAAATGTTAATTTTAAGTAACAGAAACCTGTGACATCATTTGGACATTTTATTTCCCCTTTTAGAATTGCTCATGTTATACCTTTTAGCGATGGTTCAATTTATAATTAGTTAATAAAGTTAAACTGAGCAGTTCTGTACAGATAGACAAATGATTGAACATATGCAGGTCAAACCACTCGTATGTATTTTAAGATTTTTTTCTATTTTTAAACAGTTTGTATAATGTTTCATATCTTAATGTGACAAAGTAGCCAAAAGGTTATAGAACTTAAAGAACGCTTCTCTTTAAAGCAACTTAAAATAAAATGTAAAATACCTAGAATAACAGAGAGTGAACATTTTTTTCACCAAACCCTAATGTTATTCAAGAAACTAATCTGTGTTGTTTATTACTTCTTTCAGCTGGGCATGAAACAGCAGTTTGAGCTGGGGAGATATCTACGCAGGCGCTATGGAAACCTTCTCAGTGAGGACTACAACAACAAAGAGGTGTGTGTGATTCTTCAGATGCATTTCAAGCCTGCTTGGTCCATTTCGTCTGCCTTACTGTATCATCTGAATTCCCTCGCATCTCTGAATCCATGTTGTCATGTGAACTCTTGCTGCCACATGCGACAAGTTTTACGTGTCATCACCATCCACAACGGCTGCAGTAATTTAATGAGGGCGACACATTGTGGTCATATCACTGCCGTGGCTTTGTCATATGCTGAAATCTGGCATGTAGGGCAGCCTCTGGGCTTTTTAGTTTATACAGTATACATTTGGATGCCTGCGGAGTTCATCACTGTAGGCTCAGAAAACTGTCTTCATGAGGACATGGTTTTCTGGATTCCCTGTCACCTCCTCCCCTTGTTTTATTTTATCTTTCTTACTGTTTTCTAACCCTTTCCTTTCTCCCACTTTTCTTCTCCTTCTTCAGAATATAATGTAATTAATCTGAAAATAACACTTCTCACTGTCTGTCTTGGTAATATGCCTCAGAGTCTTTGTCAGCTTGTACTGTACTCCACCCCCCCGTTCAGCCATGTCTGCTTTAATTTCACAAAATGGAGGGAAAAGAAGGATTCTCTGTGTCACAGGAGCATCCGGGCTTATCAGTGGGATTTACTGTGTACAAAAACCTGACAAAGAGTGACAGAGGGATAGAGACGAGCAAAGGCTCGTGTCAGAGGAGATCACAGTGAGCCTGATCTCCCACCTTTTTCCTTCTCACAGTTATTTGAATCACATTTCCCTCTCTTTATGTCTGCTTAGCTGACCTGCATAAATCAGGGCAAAGATGGTACATTTATTTTCATTTTCATATGGGAAATTATGGAAAGATATTGACTACAATTACAATTTTTATTTTAAATATCTAGTTTTAGTTTATCAATTTAAAAAAATAATCATCTTTTGAGTATTTTCAACCAGAGAGTTTCAGGTACCAGCATATTTAATGCCATGTTTCCTCAATATTTGCACCAGTTGTACGTCCGGAGCACTGACTACGACCGCACTCTGATGAGCGCCCAGGCCTGCCTTGCTGGGATGTTCCCCCCCACCAGACGCCCGCCTCCCATCATGCCCCAGTTACTGTGGCGGCCAATTCCAGTGCACACCGTTCCCAGGGCGCAGGATAAGGTGGGCTGCTGAGCCAAATAAATATTTCCTTTTTATCCAGAAGGCTTGCACAGCTGTACACAGATTCTGCATACATTTTGTTGGGTCCCTGGCTTTACCCCGCTGTCAGTGTTTCACCTCATCTGTGAACCTCACACACTTAAATGCCTTGTTGTAATAAAAATGTAAAGCAAGGAAGTAGTTCGGCCTCTGAGACTTACAAAGCTTATGCACTGGTTTTCCTCTGACTTTTTATGCCTGCATTCTTTATTGAAGCTGTTGAAGTCTCCAGGCAAAGACTGCCCTCGGTTCAGAGCTTTGATGACGGAGACCTTTGAGAGCGCTCCCTATCAGAGGTTCCTCCGTACTCACCAGGTAGGTTAGACCGGATGTTTTAGAAAACATTCTACTTCAAATGAATATCCATCCATCTGTCTGTCTAATGATGTATTATATATAGATAAGGAAGTTGCCCTTATTTCTTCAATTTCTTTTCCCAAAATAATATTACCTGAGGTATTCAATGAACAACAGCAAAATATGTCTGTCTGTCTGTCTGCCTACATCTTTTGAATTTTATCCTTTTATAAAGAAATGTAGGTATTTACCTCATTGGCGTCAGGGACAGATACATACTGTATATAGAAAGTATCTACTGTCACCCTCTAATGTACCAGCTTTTGCTCTTGTGTTTATTGTCACTTATATTGAGCCATTTTGGTGTAAACTTGAGAAACTTTGCTGCTTATGCATTCCATAACAAATTTGCATAATCCTATTGTATTTACTGTTAAATGCCATTCTTCTAAATTTGGCTGCTTCAGTACTATATGATGTGAAAACTAGCAAACACAGCGCAACCTGCATTCTGGTGAAATACATAGTTCACAGTAGCTTCTGCCAACACAATCAGCACTTCCAGTGGATGTGTTAGTTATGCACCAGACATCATGTCCTCTCACTGATTTTCTCAGGCACGGTGACTCCAGTGCCTCCAAAAAGCTGCACAGTGCAATTTCTCTCACATTCTCGGAGACACTAATTAACGGTTGGATTAAATTAGATAAGGAATTACAATAAAACAGTTTTAATTAAACAGAGTCCCATGCGCTGCTTACTAAGGAGGTGTTGGAGATCAGGCCAGAGCCGCTCATGTTAAATTTCAACACCCTCTGCTGTACCTGCAAGGTATATGCACAAAGTGGTTGGAGACAAGTTCTAAAGGGAAAAGCTTTTAAAATAACTTTTCATAAGATGATTCATTGCGAAAATATAGGTCATCTATCTAAACGTTAATGGAAACATATAGTTAAAATGAAGTTTACACAAGATGAAAAAATTAGATACCCTTTTCATAGGGTAAATCTCATATATTATGTGAATGAATATATTTTTTAATACTTCATTCATCAATATTATAAAAATGAAAAGTTAATCCATACTTATTTCCTTACGCACCATTTAAAGTTGATTTTCTATGATTTGCTCATTAACAGCTGCTAAAATGTAGACAAGTGTCTCTCAGCAAGTTAGCAACCATCAACAAGCTCTAGTGGGATTCTGGCTTGATATCTGTCACTGTTTCTCCTTTCAATTTCCTGGTACAAGCCCAACTTTTTATCTTTATCTCTTCAAAGGGGCCGTCAGTTTAATCTGAGATGAGTTCAAGATAATTTCAACAACTTGGCTGTAGATTGGAGAAGTTTAGGCACTAACAGTTTTGGGAGTTTGTATACTTTTTGTAGTTTAGACCTTTAAAACCTCAGTCATAAAAAAAATTGTCTCTGTTGTATTACTGCTTCATCTTCTACCTTTTGATCATCATATTTTTCTACAAAAGATATTAGGCATACACAGGTTTTTAGCTGTAATTTTCCATGATGATTAAAGGGGTCCGTTTTAAAGTAAGCGCTTCTTTTTTAATTCCCTGAGGATTTAAACACCAGTGTAGCAGCGCTTTTCCTGGGTGAATCTTAGAAAATTCTTACCATTTTTCTTTAATCTAAGTGAGACCATTAGAAGACACAACTAGCTTTTCTAACTGTACCAGGTAGATGGTACAAATGGTCAATTTGTAAAGAATAGATTGGTTTGCTTTCTTAGGGTCAGATTTCACAAGAAAAAAAAAGAAGACAATAACAGCTGTTAGTCTGACTCTTTTGTTTTTGTTTTACAGAACTTTGTGGAACGGCTTTCCAACCACACTGGCTACCCCGTACCCAGACTGGTTGGAAAAAAAATCTGGAGGGTTTACGACACCCTCACCTGTCAGGTTTGTTTCCCAGCAAACTGTACAAAACTGTTTATCATTGTAACTTTAAATTCCACTGAAACTATTTTTAAGCTACAACACATTTTATCCCACACAAACTAACAGTAGGTATATTTTATGGGAATTTTATGCAATTAATCAACAGGACAAACTAGTTGTATATAGAAGTCATGAGGGAGATCAATTATTCTAAATTTTATTTAACCAGTCAGGAGATCTTTAAGAGTTATTTAAGTCCTTCTTTTTTTAGAAATAGAATGCATGTGGAGACATTAATGGTTAATTAAACATTTTTTTATAGCTTCATCAGGTGTTCCTGTTTGGCTGTGACACCATCCTGGAGAGAAATATCAGCTGTGCTGCTGCTATCAACACTTGTGTTTAAAGATGTTGGAAATCAGCCTGTTTTTCAGTGTAGTCCAGTTTCTCTGACTGTGACTGACTAGATGCGCTCTCTCATCCTCTGACATGGGAGTTGGCTCAGAGCTGGTCTGCCTGGATGTGTGTTTCCTGGACGGGGCCACCTGTGAAGCTGGTTAACAGTTGCCTTTTGTATCTCTGCTTATTTTTCTATGTCTGCTTCCGTCCGTCTCCTTGAACCCCAGTCGGCCTCGGCAGATGGCTGCTCCCACTGAGTTTGGTTCTGCTGGAGGTTTCTCCCTGTTAAAAGGGAGTTTTTCCTCTCCACTGTCACTACAGTACAAGCATGCTTACAGTGAGGGATTGCCTTCGAGTCAATGAGTCAATAAAATCATCTGTTTTTCCTTTGAAAACTTGGAATCAGTTTGACTGTATGATCTTGTTGAATTGTAAAGTGCATTGAAATGACATGTGTTGTGAATTGGCTCTATATAAATAAACTGAATTAGATTGAATTAAAAATCATATAGTTGTAGTAATATGTTCATGCTGTGGGAAGATGGAAACAGCTGAAAATATGAAAAATAGTTACAAGCCTTATGTCCTTTTCAGCTTACCACAAACTGATCTGTCAGTGTGAAGAGAATCCTCAATAACACACTGAAGGTTGTGCTAGCATCATGAAAAGATTAATCTAAAGTAATTCAGTTTGTATTACTAGCTATACCAGTGATAGATAAAAGTCAAGAATAACCTCCTAGCTGTAAATCGAAGAGAGAGAGTGGTAAAAATTTGGTTCATACTTACAGTCAGACTCGAAAACGAAATAGAAAAATATTGATTAAATTATTGTGACATGGGTGCTTTCAGAGCCAGATTAATAATCACACTTTCAAAACAAGCATCTGTTATCTCCCTACTCTAATCTAAAAATAGATGGGATAACAGAAATAATATCATGCACAAATCACTTTCTCTTTTCTTTGTCTGTGTGTTAGTGTAATGTAATTAAAACAAGGTAATGACTAAACTCTTCATACACAGAGGATCCATAACTTGACTCTCCCTCGTTGGGCCACCAATGACGTCCTGGATACCCTGAAGAGGATAGCATCCTTTGAGGTCACGTACAGCATTCTCAGTCACAGGCGGAAAGAGAAGGCCAGGCTCTCAGGAGGTGGGAATTCACATTAACAGATATTTATTTGCAGCACTGCTAGGAGGAAAATATGATAGGGGAAAGATTGTCGCTGCGTATCTTATGTGGCTGCTGGCCGAGGCTTTGTTTTTGCCTCCAACTATGTGAAGTGCAGCTTTGGATCTCCCTGAGGAATATTTGCACGCATGAGCTAATGGGACAAAGATGACAATGCCAAGAGAAGCTGCTCAATAGGGTCAAAAGGATTGTGTTTGCGTCTGCAGAAAATTAATCTGCGCTGTTAACTCTGTATTCATCTACCAGGGGTGTTGCTAAACGCCATCCTGAGGAATTTCTCCAGTGCTTTGGAGCAAGGCAACAAGCTCAAATTCATCATGTACTCAGCTGTAAGTTCATTGTCTTACTTGAACTCACTATCTGTGTAACAAACTGCTGTTTCACATCCTTATTGCTTGTACTTATCCTAGCATGACTCCACACTCATCACCCTCCAGGCAGCTCTGGACATCTACAACGGGCTCCTTCCTCCCTACGCTGCCTGTCAACTCTTTGAGTTCTACCAGGAGTATGATGGGTAATGACTTCCTTCCAGTCTGTATTTCATGCACTCTTCCATTTGCATATTCAAGTATGCTATCTGGGTCAGATGTACACACATAGAGAGACCCAACACACACAGACACACACCCACACTCTCACATAATTTGAGTTATGGCAGTCGTCTTTTCAGCTAAATGGACTTAAATATATATAAATATGTTTCTCTTCTATCCAATGGAGGCTGGGCGTCTGTCCAGCACCGCTTTGGCCAAATTAGCACAGAACGCAAAGCCCATTTCCAAAACACTTCCCATAAGTGTGTGTCATTTCATTGTGTTCATGATAATAATTACCCAGATCCTATTCAGTGGAGCTACATTACCGTAATGAATCCTCATCCGACCCCTACCCCAACACCGTGCCTGGATGCAATGGATTGAACCCCTGCCCTTTGTCCACCTTCACGGAACTGGTGCGGGACGTGATGCCGGACGAATGGGAGGTCGAATGTGGCATGAGGAGAAGGTGGTCAAGCACAGGTGGGGGGAGGTTTCTTCCATAAGAATAATTTGCTTTCACTGTGAAAGCCAGCTTAAGTCAATATTTTACACATCAGATTTTGTCACATTAAAACCACATATTGCATAAAGGTATAGTGGAGGATGTTGATTTTCTGGGGGGATCATCAAAATAAGTGGTCCTTCTAATTGTCAATCATTCTGGTGATTTGTCTACATAATTCCGTCCTGCATGCTCAACCCCATTTTTATTTACCGGTGGTGAGTCTCACATAGTGGAAAAAATGCAAATCTTCTTTTGGAAAGTAAGCCTGTAGGAGCAATGCAAACAGCAACTTCTAAACAGAGCGTGCACGAGGAGAAATGAGCTTGTGCATGCTCTCACATGCAGGAGCGGGTGCAGGGTTGTGCATGTGCATTTTATTTTATAGTGGAGAGGGCGGGTCTTGTAAGAAAATCGCAAAAATCCTCCAATATACCTTTACACTTTTAACTCCGGGTGGAATGAGAGTATTCACTGCTCCTCCTTCACCTAATGCTACTATGAGACATTTGCTACAGGATAAACATTTAATCATGAATGCTTATTATGTATTTAATCCCACGTAGTCCTTTTTTATAATGGGATAATACATTTAGAGCCCGTGTTGCCATACAAAGCTTCTATAAGACTTCTATATTTTTGCTGCTACAGACAGATTTGTTTTTTGTTTTGTTTTTTGCCCAATATGGCTCTTTGAGCAATTTTGGTTGCCAACCCCTGCTTTAAAGAAACACAAACAAGCGTATATGTGTGAAGTGGACTGTAATCATCCATCATTTTGTCCTAAGAAGTCACCTGATCAATAGATGGAGACAACTTGTGAGTGTGATTTAATCTCAGTACAAATGGAAATGTTTTTTGTCTCATTGGTTTGTCAAAGGACACTTTACCAAACATAGTAGTAGCAACTTCATGTTGAGGAGAAGTAAAAGGGAAACTGATTTAACATAAAAACTGAGCTGAATTGGGGACAATTTTTGAATTCAGTAATCCAGCTAGTGGCTGAAACATATGAGGAGACTGGGGCACAGTTTCATCTTCCAGCTACACAAGCAACATACATAAAGCCAGAGCTACACTACAATGATTTAAGCAATAATACATCAGAATGACCCACTCAAAATTTTGGATATAAAGCCAAATAAAATATATGGCATGACTAAATGTGATTAACGCCATAAAATCTGTGCTTGAGCTGTTTTGTAAAGGAGAGATAAATCTTTCTTTCTGTAAGGAAAGCTGTTAAAGACATGACCCCATATATTATCAGTTGTAATTATAGTGAAACATGGTTCATGGAGCACTTTATTTTCACTTTCAATTATGCTTTTTGTCTTTTGGTATATGTTATACAATCCCCAGGAAAATGCACTGAAATTGCTGTTTAATGTGACAAAACTCTGGATTTTTAATAGTGTGGCAAAACCTGTAGTTCTATATAGTTTTTTTTCTTCTTCTTTTACAAAGTAGTATTTAAAGAAATATCCAGCAGCTAATATAAACTTTTGTCTCTTGTAGGTACCATTACCACTCTTGCAGTAGCAGTGGGTCTCCTGGCTGTGGCGCTGTTGTTCACTATAGGGGTGGCAGTCCACAGGCGGAGAGCATCCTACTCCAGGGATGTGTAGGAAACAGAACCACCAAATTCGTGCCAAAAATAAAACAATGCTCTCAAACTGTGATTTCTGCTCTGATAACTTTGAATTTGTCAAACTGCAATTTTAAAAGCTTGTTTTTCTCTCAATCTTGTTTCTGAATCTTAGTGTGACTGCACAATATATCAGAGAAATTTTAACAGAAATAAAATGTGATGGTAGATGAAACACCTGTGCTGCAGATCATCGAAAAACTTTATTTTAATCTCTCGGAATAACTTGTATCATTCACTGTGACATCCACTCTTCGTTTGCAGTTTGGTTGACATCATTTGACATTTTCTGTTCTTTGGCTCTTCATTTTTTGTCTGGATCTATGGCAACTGTGGAGCGGAAAGACAGAGATTAGGGTCAAATGTAAATGTTATCATGTACAGTAGATTATCTAGGCAAGACTCATAAAAATGTTTTACCTTATGTTGGAAAAATATCTTTTTTTATGTTAATTAGAACTAAATTAAACTATATTTATTTGTTTTTATTCATGTATGTTTTATATTAGAAGTGTGACAGAACATTTAATTAACACTTCTGTATGTAGCTTGGTTTTTCAGGTTATGGTTCTCTGTAAACACAGTAAAACAATTATGCAAACGCCAGGTAAATCATGCAATAGTTTTGTGTCAACTCCTAATTTGATTTCAAAATATGATGTAGAAAAAAACTTTCATTTAGATAAATATGTGTGTGATGGCCTTATTTGCATGCAAAATAAAAGACATAAAAGAACTGAAAAACTTCTACTAATGTCAAAATTATATAATCTTGGAACAATTTGAAAACAGTAAGGAGGAATCACTTAAAAACCCAGAGTCATTTATGTGTGGAATTGTGCTTGGTTGTGTTTTAACTATGGTTTGTTAAATTATCAACAGTAGCTAAGAATATAGAGTAAACCTTTAAAAAGCTTGCAATTAATGTATTATTATAAGACCTTTGAGTTTGCAATTGGTTTTTCTTTCACTGAAAGCCTGGTTACATTGGTGGCTAAAAATACAATGGCATGTTTTCTATTATTTGTCATGCCATTTTTGCATCTCTTTGGTGAGGGCTGCTTTAGATGCCATGATGCTGATATTATGTTTTATAAAAGCAATGAAAGCATGTCATTTTTAAATTAAAAGTGGTGATCGGTTGTGACTGATGTATTTTTCTTCTGACAGAAACTACTTTTGTGTGGCATCAATAGAGAGACAGTTCTGTACTAATACTTGTATTCTAACATCTGCAATCATGTAAAATAAGATTTATATTATATTTTTAAGCTCTTTCTGTGAAGATTTCTTTGAAGTGTATCTAGGATAGTAAAGCCCAACCCTTGCCTGACAATAAAAAATATTTCCATCTTGCGATGAAAAGGCCCACTTTCTCTTTTTTTTTTTTGCCCTTACCTCTGACATCCAACTTGCACTCCACTTCATCCTGACCCAGGTCATTGACCGCCATGCAGGAGTATTTGCCTGCGTCGAAAGTGCCTGGCTTGCGGATGTTGAGCGTCAGCACTCCTTGGTTGTTCTGCATCAGAAACTTGGGATCCTCTCCAATGATCATTCTGTTCTTCATCCACACAATCTTAGGCTAAGAGGAACAAAAGTGAATTAAATTTGAAGATGCAGTAAATTCAAAGATGCAATGCATTGGGCTATGACATGTAAAGCGTTATTTACATTGCAACCACAAACATCAACGTATTTCATTAGGACTGTATTTGATTATGAAATGCACTGTAGTGACTAATTGTTAGGTCAATAGAGGGAATGGATTGTAACTTTTGAATTTTTTCAAATTCATAATCTGGAAAATGTGAAGTGCATTTGTATTTAGTTGCCCACGTAAATAGACAAAAGCTGTCTATTGAAAGTACAGATGAAGCTTTATTAAAGATCGCTAGCTTTGCACACCTGAGAGTGATATGTTTCTTGAGTCATCCTTTTAGAATGCCTGAAGCTCAGTGAAACTGAATCAGAAGGATAGTGTGAACTTTCATATGGAGCTCTTGCCAGTTACCATGGGGTCTGGGCTTTGACTGGGCCTTTTAACACATTACTATTCCTTTTGAATCCTTTACCTGCTTAGAAAACCATCATGATGCTTTCACCATGTTGTATCATTATCACTCTGACATCTTCTCAGAACAGCTGTGATTTTTTATGATTAATCATTGTTATTTACAAATAGGCTTGGTATACTCTGAAATTATGCATACTTTTTCTTCCCATACTGAAATACTATAATGTACATATTCTAATGTTTTGTTCAGTCTACCTAAGATGATCCTACAGTGCTCTACCAAGATTAAATCACAGTAATCAATTGCTAATTATTAATTAGAAGTCATTTGATGGCTATTATGGTGGCTATTTGTTTTTACCAAAGAGTATTTTCACTATGAGACTTCTCAATTATACATTATGAAATAAAAAAAAAAAGTTGATGTTTGTAGTTTTAATGTGACAATATGCAGAAAGATTTTCACAAGAGAAACCACAGACAGAGACCGTTTAAATAGGTTTACCTTGGGAAAGCCTCTCACAGCACAGCTGATTGCAGTGCTGTATCCCGCTACAACAGATCTGTCCACTAGGGGCTGGGTAAATTTCGGTGCACAAGCCATGTCTTTCTCCTTATAGGAAGGTTGTTTGAGCTCAAGGCCTGTGTTGAAAAAATGTATTTTTATTCTTGTGGTTCTTTACAGAACCACATTTTATGGATCAGAAAGACTGAAATTGTAAGCATTCAGCTCACACATCATCTGGGCAGTCTAATATTGTATAATGTACACAAAGATGCAGTCCCACCTGTCTTAGGAATGACAGCCGTGTTCTTGCTAAACCGCGGCTCCTCGCTCAGGCCGCAGAGGTTTTCACTGTAGACTCGGAACATGTACTCATTACCCATGATCAGATCGGAGACTGTGCAGTTTGTCCGTCGGTTATGTTCATAAACCGTAAACCATTCCTATTAGGGGAAGAATATAACATGTTAGCAAGGAAGAAAAAGAATGCTGATATTTTTTTTTTATTTGATAATTTGCTTAATTTGATATTTAATATTTAATTTAAGATTTTTTTTTGACATAGTGTCAAAGTAGGTTATTATGTTTCTTTCCTACCTTAGTCTTCATGTCGGCTTTCTGGATGGTGTATCCAGTGATCTCAGTGTTGCCATCATCTTTGGGGGGCTCCCACTCCAGTGCAGCATTGAACCCCCAGACATCTGTTACCCTCACATTCAATGGAGGCCCAGGCTTTTCTGTATCAATTAAGCATCTTTCAATGTTATTATATCTCCATTTGCATAATCACAAGCATAAAAACATCAATTTCATATGTTATTTTTTTCTAGACTTCATCTCCAGAATAATGCCAACTGTACCAATAATCCTGATGTTAATGGAGGCTCTGTCCTCCATATTCTCAATCTTCAGAACCAGCTCGTATGTTCCAGAGTGCTCTCTTTCTGCCGAGCGTATGAAGAGGATGCTGTCTACATTCGTGTTACGAACGTTGACCATCTTGGGATCAACTGGCTGGCCATCCTTGAACCAAGCTGCCACAGGATGGGGTTTACCCTGTGACCAAATAAAAATTTTTTAAAAACTCATATAATTTGTTTATGTTTTTTTTACGGGGGAAAAGTATCTTAAATTATGTCAGAAATATTTTCTATTTATATCGACTTTATATATAAATTAAAGCAAGTAGAAATGTGATTAACAAAGTTGGTTGAAAAGCCAAGTTTACCCTGCAACCACAAAAGTTGACAAGGATTGTAAGACGCTGTCAACAATCTCCAACAAAATTCCCATAATAACCATTTATTTAAAGCCATTTGTTCACATGCTTTTTTGGGAGTTTCAATAATTGCTCATGTGTTGTGTTGAGAGTTAATAAACACAGAATAGTTTGATTAGAGTCTCATTCTGACCTGGAATGGGATGGTCAGGTTGATCTTTTCACCAACTTTTCGGATGTATTTTGTCCTCAGCTCACGTGGAAGGCGGATCTTTGGATGTTCTAAGGTAGAAACAGGCATCTGGTTAAACTACAACAGACCTCGTTCACTGATAGTTTTGGACATTTTTTTACAGCAGGATTCTAAATAGGAACATCAAGATGCGTAACCTCCTTTATAATTTAAATGAATGTAAGTCCATTCATTTGATATACTGTGTATAAAAAAAAATAGAAAACAGCATTGGGTTTGTTAATCTTTTGAGCATTTGATTTTCCTTTAAAAAAAATCTAATTAAATTTAGAAAGCAAAAAAGTAAAATCAGTGGTTATTAATCTATATTTTAACAGGTTGATTTCTGAACATCAACCCAAATGTATGCATAGACTATACATTTTCATCAGGGTTCAGGTCATGACCGTTCTAGAAAGTTTATATCATTATATTTAAGCTATTTCCAACTATTTGTATTGTATATCTGGGTCGATTGTGTTTTAGGAACACCTGTGTTCAGGTTATGACATTTTTTCATTTAAGGTGGGGAAACTTATGGAGACCTCCATCGTGATCCTTCAACCACCATATCAGACTATTGGAATATTCTTAAATTTAAAGGCCATGATTAGAGACCCCTCCTATCTCACCTCTTGTCATCAATCAGTCTCAGCTGACCATCAGACTTTTCTCCTTGTGAATTTTAAAGCCTACCAAATTGCCCTTGCCAAATCTGACAGGTAAGAACAACCAGTATTTGGATCACTCTTGATTTTCAGCCCACTGAGGCCCATCCTCTTAGGCCCATTCCACATTAGATGCAAATAAACAACCTTGACAATCGTGTTGAGTGTATGCACACCACGCACCATTGATACTATGCTTTAAAATATTCTGAATTGAAACCCCTGACATGCATTATTATGTTTAGCCATGCCTTTTGTTTTATCTGTTAGCATCTAAAACAGTTTCACTCACCAACAACCTCACGGATGGTAACAGGTTGTGACAGTGTAGCAGGCGGACTGCGACCAGCAATGTTTACTGCCACCACCCTAAAATTGATCTTCTCTCCCACTGGAAGGCCACGCACCACAAATCCCTGCTTCTCACACAGATCCGTGTTTGCAGCTACCCATTCAGTGGCTAACAGCAAAAAACAAGAGCATCACATAGTAAATCATTTTAATTTCTTTCTGTTTGCTTTTGCTTTCAGTGCTACCAAAATGACAAAATGTAGGTCTATCATACCTCCCTCTTTGCAATACTCAATAACATAACCATCCAGACCACCCGCTCCAATCTTTTCTGGGGCGAGCCACCTCAAGCTGCATGTACTGTCTGTCACATCATGGACCGTCAAACGTGTCGGCTCGCTGGTTGGGGCTAAAGGTGAAAAAATGAAAGACCCAAGAGGGTAAGTGGCTGGAATAGCTAAAAGAAGGCTGAGACCCAAAGGGAGTGACAAGTAGAAGCTGAGAAAAATTAAGTGAACACAGTTGAGAAACTTGCCAATGGGCATGAAGGGTTTGGAGTTGAGACTTGGCTGAGACAAGCCAATGCTGTTGACAGCAAACACTCTCATTTCATACAGGACTCCTTCAATCATCCTCTTGGCCTCGTATGTAGTAGATTCATAGACGTCGAAGTTGAGCTTTGTCCATCTGGAGGAGCCTTTCTTCTTTCTTTCCATGAGATAACCTGTTGGAATAAAAGCATCTAGCTTAAAATATGTCTCTTTAACAAATACAAACCTACGCACTG